TACTCGGTCCAAGGCATGGGCTCCTCATCCGAATAGGCTTGCATCCCTCGTCACTACGATGCAGTCTGGCTCCTTGAAGAGGCACCTTTGAGTAGCTTGGAGGATGTCCACCATTGGAGCGACCGTAGCACCTTGGGTGGCACTGTTACTCTGGTCTGTGAGTGACTGGTGTGGGTCCTCTGGAAGGGGAGGAGGAACCATTGGAACGGCCGCGCGTGGAAGTGTGCCCAGGGAACAATGTCTATACATGACACCATTTTCCCGAGAAGTTGGGAAAGAACTGTAGTGGTAACGACCTCTGTGGTAGTACTTGACTTACCAGGGTCTGCAGACTTTGATGTCTCTCTTGAGATAAAGACACCTCACAGAGCTCTGAGTTGATGATAGTCCCGAGGTGCAATAGACACCTGGTCAGGTGTAGGTGACTTTTTGGAAAGTTCAGGATGAAGCCGTGGCACTGCAGGGTGTCAATTGTGACTTGTAGGTCTTGATGTGCCTGGTCCCGGGATGATGACAGGATCCAATTTTGTGGAGGTTTGCGGGGCTGATGAAGGGCCGAATGGCAGGGCCTGGTACTGGAAGTGGCATCCCGCAAACTGGATTCGTAAGAACCTTCGATGTGCCGGATGTATTGGCATATGGAGATATGCCTCCTTGATGTCGATGGAGGTCAGCAGGTCGTCCTCACTGATGCAAGTTAAGATGTTATTGAGCGACTGCATCTTGAACCTCTGATATTTGAGATGTAAGTTGAGCCGTTTCAAATCTAGAATGGCTCGCCATCCTCCCAAGCTTTTGGAGGCTAGAAATAGAATAGAGTAAAAACCTAGCCTTTCTTGTCCTTGTGGTACCACATCTATGGCGCTGATTGATAATAGATGTTGGATTTCTGCGTCCATTAGGTTCTCTTTATCTGACACCTGGGCACAGAGCACCTGATGACATGCCTCAGGAGATGGAGAAAAATTCTAGAGTGAGGCCCAGCCTCATGGTCTGGATGGTCCAGGCGTCTGAGGTGGTTTCTGCCCATTGGTGAGTGAAGGGTGTTAAATGCCCAATAGAGCTGATCCCTTGTGAGTCACCAGTACCTACGAAAGGACCAATTGTTGGCGCCACAAAATGGCCGCCAAGCCTGAGACTGCTGCTGGTTCTGTTGTCCCTATCCCTGGCACCGGATTGGTCCTGGACCCTATCCTGTGACTGTGTGTAAGACTTGTTGTACTGGGAAGTATAGGGAACTAGGGACCCAGAATCCCCAGTCCGAAAGGACTGCCTTCTATTATAGGGCTGTTGTCTCCTGTCTGTGTATCTGGTGACCGACGGGAAAATTTTGCGCTTATCTCTTGTCTCGATTCGGATAGGGTCTAACGCGGCACCAAAAAGAGAGCTACCCTTAAAGGAGGTGGAAGTTAGACACTATTTGGAACATAGGTCTGCCTGCCAATGACGGAGCCAAAGGAGGCGTCGGGATGCAACATTGGATACTACCACTCTAGGTGTGAATTTGGCCTCATTGAGGGTAGCATCCGAGGAAAACTCCAATGTCGCCACCAGTTTGTTGACATCCTGGTGGAGACGCATATCATCAGGGGCGAGCCTGGCCTGTAACTGCTTGAGCCAAACCAATGAGGTCCTGTTGAAGAATGAAGCCATTGTGGTGGCTCGCAACACCCAGGCAGCCACCTGGTGCGTTTTATGGATCAGTTCAGCCTTACGGTCCTCAGCTTTAAGGCCTTCTGAAATTTCAGACAGAATCAGGGCTGGGGAGACCAAGGCTGCCATTGGGGGATCTACTGTAGGGAATTAAAGAATCCCATCTAGTTCCGGTGTGAAGGAATAGAGCTTCCTGTCATGCTTACTAGGTGGAGGGACAGCAGTAGGTTGTGTCCATTGCTTCTGGACAACTTCCAGGAACAGTTTCAGAAAGGGTATGACATCTTGTTCCTCTACCTGTTCCGCAAACAGAAACTCCATGGAGTCAAACCCCACAGTGGTGGGGTGGTAGCGCCCCCCATGTTGGTTGTCGCTTTGGCCTTGTACAATAGGGATTTAAATAAAGCAGGCCGGAATAATCCGGAAAAGGCCAGTTTCTCCTGCATTAGGCCGTCATCCGGAGTTTCTTGATCTTGTACCTCTTCCCCTTCACCCAGGACTGAACCTTCGCTGTAGACTGAAGGTAACGGTGATGGGGGGGGGGGTGTTCAGCCTGAGAAATAGAGGGATCCCTGGATAAGTTTGCAATCCTAGGCCTCTGGGCCCTGCAGTGCAATTCTGCATCCATGCCCTGTGAGATGGCTGCTGATATCATATCTTTAAGCTCGGGGGGAAGGCTGAACTCAGAGCCTTCCTCAGACCTTAATCCTGCAGCCTTGGGGGTAAAAGTAGTTGTGGGGCCTGAGCACCTGGGTGCTGTCACCTGGGCTGACCTCTCCTGGATTAGAGGGGGATTGGGGTCCCAATTCCCCTTCCTCAAGTGGTAGGCGCAGGTGGGGGGGGGGGAGGTCAGGAGACCAACCTTGGATCCCTGCCAAATGAAGGGAAGAACTGGGAGAAGGACCTTCAGCCAAAAGGGTGGGTGGTGACCCGCTATTGGCCACAGGTGTCTTGGCCGATTTACTCCTGATCCTTGTGCTTAGTGGCCCTGTCGGGAGCCGCAGATGAAGCGTGAGTCCTTTGACTAGCTGCTCTAGTGGTGGCTCTGCCCACCCTAGTGCTAGCCCCGGTGGCATCAGAGTGCAGCGGGGGAGGAATAGAGGCCCCAGCGCTGCCTCCTGAAACAGAACGATCCGCCATTGGAATATAAAAGGGGGGGGGGGAGTTGAAAGGCTCAGCTTACATCCCAATCCGGGTGAGTGCACTGATAGAAGCTGTAACGGAGCTAATTGAGGCTGCTGAGAATGGCAAGAGAGCCGCGTGTGCTGGAGCAGTAGTATGGCGAACTGACTTCCTCAACGCTCAGGCAATTTGGGCGCAAAGAGTTAGATGCGCCCCTTCCGGTCGCCTTTCGCCCGTCAAAATGGCCACCGCAGCAAGAGGGATGGTGCAAAATTCAAATGCGGCTGCAAAATGACCGCTGCTTGCCGTTAGAGCCCCCCCCCCCCATGATCCTCCACTGACCTGGTGAAACAGCAACAGGGGAAACAGCGCTAAGGGGCTAGACGGCGAAATAATGTGGGACAGATCGTGCTACGAAAGTGGATCATGCCCAGCTCCGCCGATGTGAGAGCGGCGAACCGACCCCCGACCGCAGCACAATCAAGGCAGAGAGCAGCAAATCAACTCTGCTCTGCGGCAGTGAAGCAATCAAATTCGTGTGGCTTCATTGTCTCCAGCCAAAGTTTCGCAAAAGCTTTAAAGGGAACTTCGCCAAGCTGAAAGGAACCGAGGCTAACTTAGTGTATCAACCTCGTCTTGTGGTTGGCCAATCCACAAACAATCAGTCTAATAGTAACAGGAATCCAAAGGAAGGAAAGAGTTAATTATTACCCTAGAGCAAAAATTTATGTCTCTTTAGGCTGGACTGAGTTAAAAAACGGAACTATCCCAGCCAGAGGAGGCATGGTCAACAATTACATAACTCAGTCTCTAGGCTAATGGACAAAGTTAACCCATGCTTGGATTCCCCAAGCAGCGCACAGGAGAAAGGCAAATTTTTTTCTTAGGGTTTTGAAATTACATTCTACAATAGGAATTGTACTACTGTATTCAATTATTAAGATTTTCTGCTTGGACTACAGGAGGCATTAAAGGAAAATAACTTGAGCCCACTAAGTACCTAAGAATGCAGATTTTCAGTAAAACTACACACTTCCCTCAGTAGATGCATGGTTAATTGAAAATGTGATGTCCTGAACTGGAGTTTATTAAAAGAATTATCAAGCTTGCACTCCATTGGAGATGTCTGCAGAAATCAATATATTTAGTTTTAGTTGTTTAGCACAGTGCCGATATTCCTCCCCTCCCAATGTTATTAGTGGAGGGACAGCTTTCCTTCTGTCAATGCATGCATTAGAATAGGTTTGATTAGGGAAGATAAGCTTTGGAGAACAAGGAACACAGGTGTAGCACTTAACTTACAACTTTTTGTGATTAACTGGTAAGCTCAGAAATAGCTGGAAATGATTTTGCATCTAGAGGAAGAGAGCATTTTATAAAACATTATTTCTCATTGAAATGAAGAAAATAGCTAAACAAGGCATAAGTGCAAGTATTCAATTCGTGATGCAGTTAGAGAACATTAACAAGTGCTTTTTTTGTGGAAAGGAATTCAGCAAGTATCTTAACTGCATGGCTTCATTTTCCAGATTTCCTGGCTATTAAGATGCCAGGCCCTCAAAAAGCTTTACTGATTGAATCAGAGGACAAGACAATTGGTCCTACATTTCCATGAAGTAACCACATAATCACAAAAAGGCAATTACTTTCATGAATTGTAGTTAAGTGCAGCACTTGTGCTCCTTATACTCCAAAGCTACTCTTCCTGGTCAAATCTATTCTAATGCATGAATAACCTTTATTGCCCAGCCCTAATTTTTTTTATATTCCTGACTGAAGCAGAAAGCCTTCATGAGCCCCCAATAGTGTATGATTCTCAGAGACTTCCTGACCAAGTGCCTATGTTTTTCTTGCCAAGGTTTCTCAGAAGTGATTCATCATTGTCTCCTTCCTAGGGCTGAAAGAAAATGGCTGGCCCTAAGTCAAAGGTGGGACTAGAAATCAGGGTCCTTGATTCTAGCTGTACTGCCTTACCTGTTACATCAAGGTGGCTCTCACCATCCTGCTTTACAGTAATTTAAATAATTATTCTCATAAATGCTGCCTGGCATTTCTGTTTCCAAAGTGCATGCAAGAAATTTTAGAATGGCAATCTGGATAGAACAATCCACAGAGAACTTTGAGATCAGATGTTCTAATATTTGAATGCTGTATTTGAATCCAGAGAATAAAGCATATTTTAATATTGAAAGAAAGACATGAAACATTGTGAAATACCACTTTTTATTATTTATGGTCTTATCAAGAATAATAATGACTTCTAAAACTATAAAAGGCACAGAAAAATATTTACAGCATTAGAAAATCCACAATAACATTTTATACCATCACATAGTTAAAAGCAAAGTATTTGGAATCAATTTCTGTTTACTAAAGAGCTAATTTTTAACTACAATAAAAAGAATTGCAAATATATTTTGTTGTTAGATTAGAAGGAATCATCATCTGACTGCTCCAGATATTGAACCAGCTTCTTAGTGCGAAGTGGTTTTTCATAGGGTTTGGGCTGAGGAGGAAAGTCCTCATCAGAGCTTAGATCAAGGACAAATGATTCATCCACATCCTTGGATTTCTACAAAGCAAGAATAAAGAACAATAAACTCTTAGGACAGTTCCATGCATAGCACTGCAGTCTTCTACATAATGGATGCCATAGCGATAATTATAATATTTTAGGAAAAGAAATGGTGTGATAATATTCAGGATAAGGGATCTTAAAAGAAATAATGATGCTAATTGACTCAACACTCTACATCTTGCTGATCTCAATTTGTCCTTTCTTGAGCACCAGGAGATAAAAATCCATTGTCCTGTTACTAAACAGGAAAAAAGGAAGGCAGCATCTTTGGGGGAATGCTGAACACCAGACACCAAGCTATTTTTTCAAAGAGCTGAAATAATTCTGCTCTAATTTGGTGGGAGCATCTCATTCTCATAGTTGCTGTGACGGGCAGACAGGACAAATTGGAGCTTTATATTAAGATTAAAAAGCTCTGAAATAGTCCTTGGCTCTTTGTCCTTGCCTTAAGAAGAGGGTAAGATTTCTAGTTTATGCAATAAGCATCTAATTTAGAGAAAGATGAACCAGCCTATTGTGGCGTTACTTTTCCCAAATGACAAGTTAGGTTTGTTGCAGCATAGAAAACTTCTACACGGCATGAGAAACTCAGGCAAGTTATTAGCTTCAACTAATCCACAATATTTTTGTTGAGTTGCCTGAAAAATACATATATTTATCCTAAACATGCCAATTAAAGTTTGTGGTCCATCGAAGTAGGTTTAACCTACGGCATCTTTTAAAATTACATTAAAAGATCAGAGATAGTGATGAAAATATGAATAAGCAAACCTTAAGTGCTATTCTTTTTTTAAGGCTTTGGCCAAACTCAGGATCAGAGTCTTCACTACTGAAAGATGAAGACATCCTTCTTTTAGTAGCTTTCTTCATTTTGGTAAGCTTTTGGGGGATATCATCAAAATTGGAATCTGGACCCTTAGCCTTGATGTGTTTTGTTTTTGCCTTTTTCTTAGTGAAAGGTTCCTGAACAGGAGGCTGGTTGCCTAAAAGAAGAGAAACAAATCTTTATCAGCACTATATCTTTAGTTTCTTTCCACCAAGAAATACTGATAACAACTTTAGAAATGCTTAATTCCTAATCAAGGAAAATAATTAAGTTGTACTTCCTAGTTTTTCTACTAGACAAGAATTTTTTTTTTAAAAAAAAAACCCAATTCCTGTCTAAGAAAGTATGGTAGAGGATAATTGTTTGCAGGTCCCAATCTTCCTTTGTGCACAACTTTGCATATTCCAGTTGGTGGTCTTTTCATTGAATTACACTAAGTGCTTAAGGATACATCTTCCCCAAAGATAACAGGAGTGCAAGCTCGTCTATGGAAATGGGAATATGGCTTCTGACAAATGAGCACAGGGCCGGGACCTTTCATCCCATGTGTAAACTGTGCAGCCTATTCCTCCCTTGGATCCAAAAGACCTGATGAGATGTGCTATTTGTCTTATATGCCCTTATAAGGCTTCATATACAATTGTAATATATGGAATATATCCCACAAATTTATTTTACACACATTTAATAAATATTTAATTCAATAACAGGAAAGAAGTACTGGGGAATTCTCTCCATTGGCAGCTGAGAATACTTATTCAAGGATGTTATTTGATCTGCATAATATCTCCACAGTGCTACTCTCATACAAATTATATTTTGCACACTATTCCCCTTCTATTAGAAAAGTATCAACAAAAAGAAGACTCCTCTGTGATCCTCAGTCTCAAGAGTCAAGGCCTAATCGAAAGAGAAAACTTTCTGGTGTATTTATCAACAAGAGATTGTTTCTTGACTATCAAACTGATATAGAGGAACAGGTAGGATGTAAACAAATGACAAACCAAGAGTGACTTGGAGGATTTATTAAATGTATAAGAGACTTCTTAAACCCTTGAAGAAGTCTGTATCATGGAATAAAAAATAATTATAGAGACATTTAATCCTACAATATTTGATCCAAAAATTAAGGGTCTTAAAAGTTAAAGTATAAAGGTAAAGGTTTCCTCTGTTCAGTTGTGTCTGACTCTAGGAGGCAGTGCTCATCTCCTTTTCTTAGCCTAGGGAAACAGTGTGGTCCAAAGATAATTCCTTGGTCATGTGGCTAACATGACTATAAACCAAGGTGCATTGTACACTGTTACTTTTCCACGAAAGTGGTACCAATTTATCTACTTGCATTTGCATGTTTTTGAACTGCTAGATGGGCAGAAACTGGGGTGAATAACAGAGTTCATCTCATCACATGCTGCTCAGATCTCAAATGTGGGCTGTCAGCTTTCCAGCTGAAAAACTCACCACTGAGCCAGACACCATATATATATATAGCAAAGTACTAGTTGTTTTTATGGGCTTTTGCCAACACCAGAACTGAAAATATGGTTTCTGGATTTGCTAATTATTATTGGCATCTTTCAATCTCAAGACTATGATATCGTGCTCTGGAAATAAGTCCTAAAACAGCATCTGGTGTGGCTATAAAGGCCAATTCGAGAGTTGCAATCCCTTCCACACTAAGGGCAAATACATTCTGTCCCCTGCCCAGACCCCAGATTTTGCTGGTTCCGAGACTGTCTCTTTGCCTCAGCCTGCCGAACAAGTGTCTCTTCGAATTGGAGAAGGCCATACTGGGTTTAGCTCCAAGCTGAACGATCGGAGATCAAGGTTTCCCAGTTGTTAATGTCCATTCCCAAGGCCTTTAGATCCCTCTTGCAGATATCCTTGCATTGCAGCTGTGGTCTCCCTCTGGGGCACTTTCCCTGCACTAATTCTCCATATAGGAGATCTTTCGGAATCCGCCCATCAGCCACTCTCATAATATGTCCAAGCCAGCCTAGGCGTAGCGCATATGAAAGATGTTAAGCTTTCTCTCCTGCTGTACGTAAAGGGTCCAAGACTCACTGCAGTATAAGTCTGCTCAGGACGCAGGCTCTATAGACTTGGATATTTTTCTTTTCCTTTATTACACTCTATTTACTTCTATTTCTTGCACTTTTTATTCTGTACTATTTTAAAGTTCAGTTTGTATTAGATTTTATTATTGTAATCAAAAGTTTTCAATAAAATGTTACACACACACACATGCCTTTCGATCAGAAAGGTAAGCAGCTCAGCTGTTCGAATCCCTAGCGCTACATAATGGAGTGAGCTCCTGTTACTTGTCCCAGCTTTTGCCAACCTAGCAGTTCAAAAGCATGTAAAAATGCAAGTAGAAAAAATAGGGACCACCTTGGTGGGAAGGTGGCATTCCGTGCCCCTTTGGTATTTAGTTATGCCAGCCACATGACCATGGAGACGTCTTCAGACAGCGCTGGCTCTTCGGCTTTGAAACAGAGTTGAGCACCACCCCCAGAGTAGGGAACAACTAGCACATATGTGGAAGGGAAACCTTTACCTTATACACTGCAGACATATTACAGACTCAGTTGTGTGACATAATACCTAGGGCTATGGTTAGGTAGTACCTTGCATTAAAAATGGCAATGGGGTAGGTAGGTGGAGAATGAATTCTGGCTTTTATAGACTAAACAGAGATTATGATACAAGTGGATTATATACTCACCCAAACCACTGCTCTGTACTTCTGTTGGTTTGGATTCAACTACCTTCTCCTTTGTTTTCCTAGGACACAAATTCTGTATTAAATTATGCTTTTTTTGCAACAAGGCCAGCAATATATGGGCATAGACATTCCTAACTGGAAAAAATTAAAACTTTACCAAGAGATTGCACTTAATTTTGGGATTGGTTTGCTCAAATGTTAAGATTTACTCCAGTTTAAAATTATTTTCTTTTTCAAAACTTGCACCACTGCAGTGAAAGCAAACACCTGAAAAAAGTTGTGAACCTCTTACATTGCATTCCATTGTGGGGGTGAGGGTTGGAAGTATAAAACATAAGCAACTTATTGTAATATTATGGTTAAAATTAAAAGCAATATTTTTCATAGAACATTTGAACAACATATAATGCTGTCATCCGTCTAGCAGAAAGATCAGGATTACACAACACGGTTTGAATATGCTTACAATAGCAACACCAGGTTACTTTTGTATGACCAGTTGATGAGATATATGGACCGAAAGTTTGTGGAGCACTTCATCAGCAAAATGTGGGAACTGGAAAGGCCCATCTATGTTATGACGCATCTATTCTGCACGCAGATGATTCCAAGTTCTAATTCCACAGATCCTTCTGACTTTGGATAACTGTCTAACATCCTGGAAAACAATTGCCTGTCCCCATATATCTGGGATGGGCAATTAATTTTCCCAAGTGGCCACATGAGAAACAGACTGTTGGGGAGCAACAGGACTGTGAAGATGTGTAGACATGCATGCGTGCACATATATAAATTGGAAAAAAAAATAGCAGTTGCCCTCAAAGTAAAAGCAGTGCAAGAGTATTGTGCGCATGGCATAGGAGGGTCCACTGGACCTCTGGTGGGACTGATCTACAGGGCCTCTGGCAATCTTAGGAAAGATTGGTCAAATGTGCATCCAGTAGCCCAAGTAGGTTTCTAACTGTCTTCTGAAGTACAAGAGGAGCCAGCCTGTTGGGCTCACCAGTTGTAACATCTCCCTTGTAGATACCTCTGGCAGAAAAGGGCGAATGTGGCCTGCGGGCCTTAAATGCCTAAATCTGACATAGATTGTACAGGTCAAAAAGAGCAAATAACCTGACCTTGTATGTAAGGCAGTTTTATTGACTATTTTTTTTAAAAGAACTAATTATTTCTGGTCTTATCAGCATTTCGACATAAGAAACCCACCCCATGAAATATAACAAATCTTTGCAAAAACTATTTTCTCAATCTGATTAACCTTAAAATGCTGTCTGTTATCCAGGCAAATATTTTTTTAAAGAAACAGTCAAAATAGGAGAATCACACCTGAAACTTACCTAGAAACAACAGCCTTTGGTTTTACTATTGCTCTCGGATAGTCCTCAGTCAAAGCACTTCCCTCCGTATCTGAATTAGAATCCTGCATACATGTTTCTTTTGCCAAATATAATAGGAAAAAAAAAATCAGTTGCAAGCCAAAAATGTGGGAGGGAGGAAGGCTAAGTGACAGTATAGGTAGTCCCCAACTTACTACAGTTCGTTTAGTGACCATTCAGTTACAACAGCACTGAAAAAAGTGACTTATGGTCAGTTTTCACCCTTACAATGATCATGTGATTAAAGTTCAGATGCTTTGCAACTGGTCCATATTTATGATAATTAGTGTCCCCGGATCATAGGATCAGCTTTTGTGACCTTCTCACAAGCAAAATCAAGTGGAGCCAGATTCACTTAACAACCACTTAACATAATAAGCAAGGAAAGTTATAAAATGGGCAAAACTTATTTAACAATTTTTTGGAGGTTAGCAAGATAAATTTTGAATTGTAGTCGAAAGTTGAGAACTACCTGTATATTCTTAAGAAACTGGGGAATATAGCAAATGAGGAAAGTGTTTTGTTCCAATCACAGTGTAAACAATTGCATTTGTGGAAATTTTATTTAATTGTTTAAGCATCTATGGTTTGAAAGAATTAAAATAAAATCTGGGCAGGATGAACAAAGAACAAAACTGATATGCCTACTCCACTCCACTTTCCAGATCAATTTATTCCCTTGCTGAGCTGGCGGCATTCCCTTTATCTACTTAGTTGCTGTTGCCTTTGGCTTTGTCCCATTCTCTCTTTCCACCCTACTTTTATCTGGACCCCAAATAGCTGTTTTGTGCATGGTTCAAAACAACTGTGTTTCAAGCACACCTAGAAACCTGGTAGTTTATTTTCTGCATGCAACAATTTTGTATAACCTTACTGGGAACTGTAGATGAGAATGAAATAATAACAATAACAATAATAATCTTTTTTCACAAAGGTTTCCCTTTATATTTGAGGTTGTTTATAGCAAAAATGCTTGGGAAAGGTACCATTTAAGTTAAGATTCCAAGCTAATTTTAAATTCTTTGAAAATTTACCTGCTACTTGGCGTTGTAAATAAAAATCAACCTCAGAATCAGGAGAACCTTCATTTCCATATTCTGAGTCATTCCAAGGATTTACTGTCATTGGTTTTTTAATTGGCTTGAATGTCAGTTTCGACTGTTTCTTGGCATCTGAAATTTAGCAGGTTTGTTAGAACACATCTCATAGAAAATATAAACCCACAGGAAAAATTGATTCCTGCTAAAAGATTTTTACCTGGCTCCATTTTCACCTTCTGGGTCAATAGTTGTTTAAGAGTCTTTGGTTCCTTGCTGGTCCCTGGGAAATCTTGATTCTCATCAAACTCATTTTTTTCACTCTATAGATCAGCCAATGAGAAGGAGTTTATCATTACTGGGGATAGGTGAAAGAAAGTTATGAAGCTAGAAAAGAAAACTGAACACACAAACCCCCTTCAAAGGCCATTTACCTTGATTTTTCTTTTTAATTTCTTTTCTGCCTCCAATTTCATCTGTTCAGTTATTCGGGGGATAACTCTTCTCCCTTGGGGAGAAGGCAGGATTTCCTGAAGCTTCAGGGTTTTTACTTTTGCTTTTCCTCCTTTCCCTTTGTTGGGTTTGTCTTTGATTCCTAACATCTCATCCTCTTTTTCTTTTGCTTCTATCACCTAAAGTATGGATGATTTAAAAAAAAACACTAATAGCTTGCAATGTTTGGATTTGTAAGTGTTAAATTCCACCTTTTTGAGGGCATTTCTTCGCTCTGCAGTTCTACACAAATGGAAGAAAGGAATTCTATACCCAAATCTGAAATAGATGGAAATTTCTGCATTCATTAATAGAGCTCAGGTCACTGGAATTTCAGTGCTATGTGTGCATCTGAGCTTTGCTTGCCCTGTAGGTTTACTTTAGAATATATGAGTAGTCTCAATATTTCAGTCACCCTTTTTAAATGCCAGCACCCTACCCAAATGAAGACACAGAACTATTGATAAAGAATGTTTCACTTCAACTGGAAATTGATTGTTTCTGGCCCCAAAATCCAAGTTTACCCACATCAAGTTCCTCAATAAAAGCAGCTAGATCTTCTTTCCATAAGTCAGTAGGATCCTTCTGTTTCACTTTTTCCAGCTCCGCTTCCTAATAAATCAAGCAAGAAACAGTTAAGTCCGTATCTAACTTTTCAATACTATTGCACCACACATATTTTTTTTTAGAACTCATCTACCTACTTTATTATCCCGCTGCTTGCACAAGTCATCCTTTTTTTCTTTTGTTAGGTACCAGAGGGGCATGTTCAGAAGATAGTTAAAATCTGCCCCACTGACTGTGGTAGATTCATTTTCTTTATCAGTATCTTCTTCTGTACTTTCATCATTGCCCTGGCATGGCAGAAGAGAGATGTGGTCAGGGGTTAACAGCATTCAAGGGGATCAGGAGATAATCCATCCCTTTCTCACAGTACTTTTCTTTAGAGTACTTACAGTATCTGCTTCAAAAAGGCAATGTTTGGCCTGAAGATCTATTTTCCACTATAATATTATGGAATTAGCTTTTTAAAAATTATTGAACCAAACCCTTCACAATTGAGTGGATTAAAAGGAAGATTGAGAAACATACCTTCTGTTGAGATTCTTTCCATGCCTTTACTGGATCAGAATCATAACCCCTTTCAATTAGAACCTTTATTAATTCTTTCTTGGGCTTATTCTCTAGAGGGGAAGACCACCAAGAACAAACCCAGTTGAGCCAGCAGCCAAAATAAAATGTCAGATTTTGCACAATGCTAAGAACATGTCACATTGCATGCCACAAATACAAAAGCCATTACTCCTAATGGAAAGCAGGAAAGTAGACATCCATATACAATACATTTAGCACTTCAAGTTGTACATTCAATTTAAATTTTATTGTGTAAGCTATTTAAGTTTTTATTTCTAGAAAAGTAAGCTTAGAGGCAAGATGCCTGTCAGGGAAAATAATTCTTTGCTAGATGTTGGTTTTTGTTCTGCCCATTCTGACTGAGAAAGGGAAGCTAGGAACTATTTCTGTAATACTTGTTCTACTACCTTTAATAGCTTGTGACAAAATTCTAACAGTGCTTACCTATCACTATTTTGCCTTCTATTTTTTCAAGGATGAAGCGAGCTTGATTGTTTAGTTTTGCAGATTCTGCACCCAGCATGCCAGTGAGCCACTCTTTTCTTAAACCGTAATAACGCAGTCTGACTTGATAGAATTCATCTAGAATTTCCTCTGCAGTCTCATATTTTTTAAGGCAGCCAACATGGTCGAAAAGTACCTGGAACAAAGAGTAAGATACCACAGATGGTAGGGCTGTGATCAAGCATTTAAAAGCTGGATACAATTCCTTTAATGATTCCGTGTAGAACATTATACACTGTACCCCTACTCACTTCCATTTCTCACTATGGTATTTTGATACTTTTAAGGAACTGTATACACCTGGTTTCTAAAACAGATCCTTATTTACAGTGAAGTGCAAATCTCTCTCAAAATGTCAAGTGCGAAAAAGCTTTCAAAATTTTGAAAAAAAACCCCACACTTGTTTCCCAATGTAGTAGATATCAGATAAATATCTAAAGTGGAGGAATAGGCAGGCATAGTTACGTAAATCTACTAGCAAAACTGATTTTCTATTTCTCCAGTCTCAACTGAGAATTTGAACTCTAAGATTTCAGTTAAAAACTAATGACTTGAAGATTTTTTGTAGAAACTTTGTGACAAAAAGATTCTATTCTGAGACTCTGCGTCTTAGCTGAATGAATGGAGATGGTTTCCAGAGAGCATCATCCTTTGTTCTATAATTTAATGTATTTGTTTAAAAGCTACATATGGCATGTATATGTATGCATGTGCATATAAGAGAGACAGTCAGACAGACTCTCTAAATATGCCTAACTTGCTACAATAGAAGCTTTCTGAATTTTTTACTCACCATATTGCTACAAGAAAGAGGAGTTTGTAATTTGAAGACTTTATGCAGACCAATAGTCTCAGACTCCACTAGTTTCTGCTCACTCATTGTTATGATGAATTTGACAGTGGTGTCTGTGTGGTACTCTTTATAGTCTGTAATGAGTGATGGAGTCTTCTCTGTGCCATTTAGCATAGGCTCCAGAACCTGTTCTTTGTAAGTCTTTTGAGAGATGGGAAGAAACAACATAATGATTGTATACTTTCCTTTGATTGGGGAGTACAGTAATGTATTGCTATTACAGTTCCAAGAGCATAGTACAAAAATAGATCATGCCTTACCTGTGTCCATGTCCGAACAGGAAGCTCTGAAATTTCAATGGTAGTTGAATTAAGAACTGATACTTCTCCATTGATAAGGAAATGGTTTTGCCCTACTTCATCTATTGTCCCCTTGAAGTTCTTGTAACTAGGAATCTAAAAATAGTAGAAGCTGAATTAAAATAAACCAGCCTGAACATGTATCTTATTTGCATAATATAATCAGAATCCAAATTGATTAAGATAATTTCAATGAAGGCTTCTGAAAATAGGAGTAAGAGAAGTTGTAGAGAAAAGGTTGTAAATGGTTTTATGAAAAGCAATACAAAAATCTCCAGTATAGAGATAATATTTATTGACTTCATTTTGCTTTCTTTTAAAGGAAGTATCATTTTAAACCTTACTTCATAAAGTATGTAATCTAGGCAATTTTAAAAAGAATTTAATTGGTATGGCCCTGAAGTCTTTGAAGAAAATCTAATTGTGTCTGTCCACACCTGTGATTTTTTTCTCTTCTCTAAAATTACTAGATCATTTTTATTTAATCATTGATGCATTTTTATTACCATTGTTAATGGCGCATCTCCATCAAGCATACGTCGAATGTTGTTAACCACTTCTCGAATGTCATAATTAGGAACTTTGCATGACCAGCCAGTCCCAATGCCTTCAGCACCATTGATCAGGACCATAGGAAGGATTGGAATATACCATTCAGGTTCAACTCGTTGGTTATCATCGTACAGAAATTTCAGCACGTTGTTATCTACTTCTGGGAAAGCTAATCGTGCCAAAGGACTAGGGGAAAAAAAAAGTAGCTTAAATTAAAATTGTGTTAAATATTTCTAGAAATAAGTTTGGATAGGACTATGGGGTCTTTTTTTGCAGCTGAAGAGAAACAAGGAAGAAAAGAAATAGCCAGAGGATGGCAAAGAAGTGAAGAAATGGCAATAACTTTCAGTAATTTCTACTTCCCATTTTAAAGCCACAAGAGAAAAGAGTAAAAGGGGGTTGGGGAGAACCCAGTATCAGGAAAATTCTGTCTCTTGAAAGCCAACCCAAATACAGAGGAGTTGCTTCACTACCAGAGACACAATGCATGAATACATTGATTTATCACTTAAAGAAGAAAGGTTAAGCTTTTCTTTTGACTTCTCTTTTACTGACAGAAAAGGAAATCTTGCTAAATCTCTTTAAAATGGAATTTTGTGTGTATTAAATCCTTGATTTAACTGAGTATTGGGGTGAAAAGTAGTTGTCAAATGGTGAATGGATATATTTTAGTCCAAAAACACATCTGAATTTGAGAAAACCCATCTAATTGTTAAGGAAAGAATATTCATTTTGAGGGGAATCAGTGAAAATAATAAATTTTGTTCAGCTTGATTTGTTTGAGGCAAAAACTGTTATTATCTAAAATACGAAGCTTTTAGTTTATGGTTTGTTAAATGGAAAGTTTACTGCATTTAAATTAATGAACAAAGGAAATCTACTGTATTTCCCCGAAAATATGACATGTCCTGAAAATAAGGCCATGTTGGATTTTTGGGATGGGCAAAAATATAAGCCCTCCCCCGAAAATAAGCTGCCTGGACAACCCCCCTCCCCCGGCCAGGCCGAGCACCACTTACCAACCTAGCGGTATCCCAAAGGTGCCAAGCCACATGGGAGTTGGGGACAGGCGCTTGTATGGTGCCTCGGGGATACCACTAGGTCACTGAGTGGTGCTCCGCCCGGCTGGAGAGGGGAAGGGTTTGTCGGGTGGCTGTTATCTTGTGAGCGGCCTCCCGAAGAGCCTGTTGCGGGTACGGGATGACGCGGACAGCCTCGGGCGAATTCAGATGCTTGGCAACTGACTCATATTTATGACAGACTGTGTCCATCAGTTGCGACCAACTTTCTGATAAACAAAATCAATGGAAAAGCCAGATTCAGTTAACATCCATGTTACTAACTAAACAGCAGAAGGGTTGTTTGCCTGTTGTTTGCCAGCTTGGCGTCTTCAGGATACCACTAGGTCAGTGAGCGGTGCTCTGCCCAGCTGGAGAGGGAGATTGCCGGGCGGCTGCTCGTGAACGTGGTCAACTGATGGCTGCTGTGTTGTGTTGCTGCGATAGCTCAACACAGCCATTCTGCTCATGTGACCATGGACATGCTGCAATGGTCATAATACAGCCATAAGTCACTTTTTAAAGTGTTATTGTAACTTTGAATAGTTACTAAATGAATTGTTGTAAGTTGAGGACTTACTGTACACTATGTTGGAACTGAGTGTCTAAGTCAAAACTAAGAAAAGCAACCTGCTTCTACCAACCTGAGCATTGTAAAGATATATCTAGGGCTTGCAGCGTCTTTCCCACCATGCAGCCTGGTTCCAAACTGACCAATGGGTTGAAGTAAGTTCAGGTTGTTGCTGCCCACAAAATTTTGAGCCAAATTAATAATAGTCATCATCAGTGAGGTCTGAAACAAAATAATAATGATCAGTGATGCAACACCACCAAACTCATTAAACATCAATAAAATGAACAGGCATTGGAAAGATAAATTAGTCAGAAGCACTATCTAGAAAAATCCAAAGTCATTAGAAATCTGCTTCTAACTTTATTCCAAATAAATTCTGCTTCAACCATTGGGCAATTGACATGTTTGGAGTATTACAGAGGAAACTTCTCTTCAAGCCTTGTTACCAGCTGCAGCAGATATGGGCAACCTATTGCTTTCCAGAAATTGCTGAATTTCAACTTCCATGCAGCGTCTGTCTTCCTTCCTGGAGCAGGTGGGGATAGAGGCTCATTGTCCAGCCTCTGCCCCCCCTTTTTTTGTCTGGCCTCCCTCCACCTGGGAGCTGCTGCACTGCTATCTCGCCAACTGGGGGGAACACAGTGGTACCAGCAGCCAGAGCCTTCCTGGGGCTGAGCGAAGGGACTCCGCCGGGGCTCCCTGCAAAGCACAGTGGTTACAGGAATGCCTCGGCGGTGCTTCTATCTCCTATCTGCGTATAGAGATTGGCAAGTGCCATGGCAGGGAAGGTGCATGGGCCTGCCTGCTCTGCTCTTGCCGGCTAGAGGTGGGGCTCCATACCACCTTCTCCTAGCCAGAGCAACATGTTTGCTTGCTTGCTGGCGGCCTCTGAGGAGGGAGATGCCCCCGGGCCAATAGAGCAAATGATGAACCTGCTGGGAACATAACTTAATAATATTTATAAAGTCTCAAATTGGAGATCAATGGGTTAGAAAATGAAAAATCATCCTTTCTTGTAACAACTTCTAATATACTTCTTGCAAACTATATTTTTACTTGCTACTTTTTGGGATCCCTTTAATATTTCTCCTACCTCTCCATGGTGGTAAGAGGACATCTCTGCCACTGATCCAGCCAGCTGAGCTACTTTTACCTCCCGCTTATCATTTCTTTTGAAGCATGTATATAAAACTTTCCTCTGACCTGGTTTCATTCCTGAAAGAATCAGAGGAGCCATTAGTAATTACAACTTCTCTTCATAGTGAGTCTTAATAACTAAGGCATTCTCAAAAGGACAAATCTTCAAAGTTAGATTATGTATTAGTTTATTGAAAATATATCTGCTTTATATCAAGGCAATTAATAAACATTTTCTCATGCATTAAATCCTGCTTCAAGCAAGAATGTTTAAGAATATAAGGTTTTATAAATGTTTCTTTGTCACAGTTACAAAATATCCTATTAAGTCAGCTCTTTGTGGTCTATCTCTTTCAAAATTATTATGCACTAAATTCAAAGTACATAAAACCTTGTTTAATTAGTAAAAGAAAATCCTTACCATCGATTAATGATGGAATGGATCGCTCATTATCAGAATTTGAGAACAGAACCAGTTCCTTGTTGATAAAATCATTGTAGGTCAGGTAACTTGTATATTTCCCATATAGGTAATCCTAAAGAAGGCAAGGCAATTTAAGATACATCCTTAAAATAATATCTAAGTGCTTTCTTCTACAGAGATGTTACCATTTCAAAATGATTTGCACTTTAAAAAAGAAAAAGAAAAACACAGGATTTCTTCACTTGGACCAGTGGTGCAATTCAGCTGGTTCTATTTGGTTCAGGTGAACCATTAGCTGTGGTAGCAGAAGGCTCTGTCCACCCGCCACGTTTTGGATGCTCTGCGCATGCATGGAAGATCCTGTGCATGCACGGAGTTGGTGCATGCATTCACATTTGCAAACTGGTAGCGAAGGTAACTTGATTTCACCCGACTTGGGAACACATATTGCTAGCTATGAAAGGAAAATCTTTCAACTTGGATCATAGATTGCTAGATGCACCCTTGTGGCATAAAGTTAATAAAGAATGCATATGCATCATTAGTCTTTGATAGAATTTGTCATTTCATTAATATACAAAACAACTGCCTCCATCAAACCTTAGTAATTGGTGGTGAAAGTTTTTATTTAGGAAACATCAAACTTAAAATAAGCTTTATTGACTGCAGTGGAAACATAACTCAGTCTCTAGACTAATGGACAAAGTGGATTCCCCAAGCAGCACACAGGAGAATATATTGAATCTGAAACCCTTTTAGTAAGGTTGAAACTAGTTCATTTTAGCTCAGAAATTTTAAAAAACCAAATATTTATATGTTTCTTATTACTTATTATTTCTCAACTGCTGCCAAATGTTTAGTGATAGTCAAAGGTAGAGACATCCCACTAATGCTAAAATAATAAAGAGACCACCAGACTATTTGCATCCCAAATTCAGCAAAGAATCCTCCCTGTTCACAAGTTCTTTATATATTAATCTGCCTGAACTATTCAGAAGGAATCCCAATTTATTTTGAAGACTACTTACATCTGGCAGACCCAGAAGTTTGCGTTGTCTTCGGTCTTCCATGAAGTTTGTCAGCCACTCCTTTCGATCGTCAATCTTTTTTTTACTAAAGGCCTAAAATGAACAAGAATCTTACTAAACAATACTTTACACTGCCAAGTGCTTAATTAAACCACAGAAGTTTTGATAAGTAAGGAGGAATCAAGATGCCAAAAAGTAGCAATTGCTGTAAATAACTCCCCTGAAAAGGTATCATCGCAGTTTTAATCTCTACATATTTGCTGCCTTATTAAAAGCCTCAACAGTTAGAAAAAGCAGAGAAAATTCCAGGACATTACAAATCATCAAAGCAAGTAGGCAGAGAGCATACAGATTCGGCAACACAAGCTAGTTCCAAACTCACAAAAAGTTGAACCTACCTAAGGAATAGACAGCCGACTCCTGTAAATATTCTTATTCCCTCAAATGCTTCCTTGGATATGATTTGGAGTTGGATTTGCAAGCAGAGATCCAAAGTCAACAGCTTATAGATCTCTCTTCTTCAATGGAAGAGAAATCGCCACCCTCCAAACACACTGCTGCAATATGCACTGCGGCTGCGCAGTTAATACAGGATGGTGTGAGTATCAACTTGATAAACGTAAAAGAACAAAAATGTAAACTAAGTCTGCTGACGGCACAAACAATTCTCCCTATCTTTGACTTGTTAAAATCAAAGGAAACTCCTTAAAAGAGGAGTTGTAAAACATTGAGAACCAGCCAAATAACAACCCTACAAAAGCACATATCTCCTGTACCACATATCAAAAAAAATCAGCTGTGACGTCAAGGGTAACCATATCCCTACACCAAGGAATGAGAAAACAATCAGAGCTGACCACTCCTGTGGCAAAGGATAGGAAACAAATTTTCAGTGGGCATTTAACCAAAAGAGGGTGCCATTTAAATTGTAAATACTATCTGTAGCCTAAACAAACCACTTTATAAATATTAAATAATAAAGTAAATAGAGGTGAATGGGAACAAATAGAACAATTATTTTGTGAGGTGCATTTGCTTGTTTTACAGGTAGGCTGACTGACTTCCATCTAGCAGAGGCCAAGAACAAATTCTACATACATTTAGGCAACCTACATATGGGCAACTCCTAGCATTTAAAATAAGACCTTTAAACTCCTAGTGCCTTTTTGGTATACTTTTTGCTGCGGTTTCCCTTTCACAGTGCTTGGAGGCTGCAAGGGATCCAAATTCCTTCAGCTAAACCCTAGCCAAACAGAGGAGCTATGGGTGCAAGGGACCTCATGATCCAGTTGTTTAGATCCAGATGTTTAGTTCTGGATGGGTCTGCACTGCAGTATGTAACTGTGGGTTCTCCTGAATTCACAACTCCTGCCCAAAGAGCAGCTGACAGTTGTGGTTAGGAGAGTTGTGCACCACTTGAACCTTATACCTAGATCATGAGGCTCCAAGCATGGTCACTCATGCCCCAGTCACCCCTTGATTGGATTACTGCAATGTGCTCTACATGGGGCTACTTTTGAAGATTATCTGGAAAGCCAGAGCTGGCGCAGAATGCAGAAGTGTAATTCTAAGGCCTCTTAGGTGGCACATATAACACCACTGTTGTATGAGCAATGGGGTTGCCAGTTTGCAAGGTGTTATTACCTTTAAAGTTCTATATGGGATGGGCTCAGTGTCTGAGGAGCCATCTCATGCCAAGGGATTAGCCTATCCCATTTGTGCCAGTTCAAGAGACCTGCTGCAGACCTTGTCTGCTAAGGAATTCAAGTGGGTGGGGCCACCAGAGGCAAGAACTGCTCCTACCCTTCTGGTCTTCTGTAAGGATATAGGCAATTCACAATTTACGACCAAAATTGACCTAAAATTTCTCTTGCTAAGCAAGATAATTGTTAACTGAATCTTGCCCCATTTTGTGATCTTTCTTGTCATAGTTAAGTGAATCACTGCAGTTATTGTCAGTAACATGATTGTTCCCTATTGATTTTGCTTGTCAAAAGGTGATCACATGATTCCGTGATCACCATTTATCAATACATGCCTAGTATCTGAATTTTGATCATATGGCCATGGGGGCTGCTGAAATGGCTAAGTGTGAAAAACAGCCATAGGTCACTATACAACTAACGTTGTATATAGTCATTCGATTTACAACCACAATTGAATCTAAAACTTCGGTCACTAAATGAATCTTGCTCCATTTTATGACCTCCTTTGCCACAGTTATTAGGTGAATCACTGCAATTAGTAGCACAGTTGTTAATGGCTTCCCCATTGACTTTGCTTGTCAGAAGGTCTCAAAAGAGGGTCACATGACCCTGGGACACTGCAACCGTCATGAAGGTGAGTTGGTTACTAGGTGTCCGAATTTTGATCATGTGGCCTTTGGGAGGCTTGCAATGGTCGTAATTGTGAAAAACAATCATAAGTCACTTTTTTCATGCCACTGTAACTTCAAATGGTCACTAAGTGAATGTTTGTAAGTTGAGGACTACCTGTATTATAACTTGGTTTTGCCAGTCAGCTTGGAAGCCTGAGGCAACTGCTTACTGTTGGAGGTAGTGGATGGGGTAAGAAAACCTCATCCCTGTGTTGTCCATCTTTTAGTCCTGTTTTGTATATAGTTTTAACTTTAATTTGCATAGTTTTCTTTTTATCTTTTAATAATCTGTAAGCTGCTCAGGGTCGCCTTGTAACGGAGTGGACGGCGTAGCCATTTAATAAATACACACATTTTCAAATCTTTTAAAAATGTGTTTTAGGCTTAGAAGAACTCAGCCCCCTCCTAAACCAATCTCGTCCTTAGACTTTAAAGAATAGATATGATAATCTCAAGGACATTTTACCAGTTCAGCTCTCTCCCTTCCACCCACGAATGTCCAGAGGAAGTCTGAAAAGTCTGTTCTTCACAGTGCAGATGACCTGAGAAAAAACATCTGATTAACTATTTCAGTGCCCTGCCAGATTCAGAACAAACTGGTATTCTTAGCAATAGCAATAGCACTTAGACTTATATGCCAATTCATAGTGCTTTTATAGCCCTCTCTAAGCGGTTTTACACAGTCAGCATATTGCCCCTCATTTTACCGACCTCGGAAGGATGGAAGGCTGTCAACCTTGAGCCTGGTGAGATTTGAACCGCTGAACTGCCGCTAGCAGTCAGCTGAAGTAGCCTGCAGTGTGGCACTCTAACCACTGTGCCACCTTGACTCTTAGACTAGACAATTTGAGAGAAACTCTGGTGACATAACATAGAGCTCTAATTGATCTGGTTTTACCAACTATCCAAGACAGTTGCCATCATTTTGAGAAAAGACTCATTGGCATGGCAGTCCCTTCCTCTGACCTCTGGAATCTAGATATGCAGATCATTAGCAGAGTGCTCTGGAACAGATTGAACTTACTATATCCTGCCCCCATTCTGCCAAAATGTAAAAAATTCAAAGCATAAAGAGCTGAATTCTGCTGACAGACAAGGAGGTTTTGACTGCTAAACCCTGGGAACCGCAACGTGAGTCAGGAAGTAAACTTCACCAGGAACATGACATGGACATACCCAATGCACTGCCATGCACTTCAATCTTCCAACCTTTGCTTTGGAATCACATAAACTCATGACAGAGGCAACCTCAGATGCAGAAAAAATATCACCACCCAGACCGGAACCAACCTCTACAACAAATTATATTGACATGAAACAACTATCTGGTAATGTTCACCACGTTAAGGGCAAACCACTACAAAATTATCAGATTCTATATAGCAACACAAGAACGGCAAGTAACTACTATATTTTTGGAATATAAGACGCACCTTTTCTTGCCTAAAAGAGTGTGAAAATGTTGGTACATGTTATACATCGAATACAGCCATTTTTGGCCTCCTGAAGTTTTGCCCCCATATCCCATTTTTGAAAGAAAAGGGATGTTTTGCACAAAAAATGAGGGTTTTTTGGCCTTCCCTCAGCCACTGGCAGCAGTCTGCAGGGGGGCAAGGCAAAAATGCCTCCTTTTTTGCAAAAAATGGGCCATTTTCCACAAAAACTGAGGCTTTTTTGCCCTCCCTACGTCTTCAAAATCTTGATGTGTCTTATACACAGGTGCTTATAATCCGAAAAATACGGTTCATCTCGACAGAAATAGAGCACAACAATGATGANAGGAATTGGAATGAGAAGGATGTGTCTGTATTTTTCGGAGTATAAGATGCACTTTTCCCTCAAAAAAGTGGGTGGAAATGTCCATGCGTCTTATACTCCGAATATTGCCTGGGGGGGGGGGGCTTACTGAGTGGGCTGTGGTAAACAAGCCACAGTGGCAGTAAACAGGCCAGATGAGTACTGGACAAATACTGGCAGATCTCCTCCCCCATTTTCCTCCCAAAAAAATAGATGTGTCTTATAGTCCGGAGCATTTTATAGTTCAAAAAATACAGTAAGATAAAAAAGCTGTGATTTTATTTTGCAAAAAATGAACCGGAATATCTGTTGTGTAATAATAAACATTATTATTGCTAAGTTTTATAAAATGCTATTACCGTATTTTTCAGAGTATAAGGCGCACCAAGGTTTTGAAGAGGCTTTTTTAAAAAAAAAAGTAGGTAGGTAGGTAGAGAGTAGTAAGGTAGGTAGAGGGATAGAGAGAGAAATACAGTAGGTAGGTAGGTAGAGAGTAAGTAGGTATATAGAGGGATAGAGAAATACAGTAGGTAGATAGGGGAGAGAGAAAGAGAGAGAAATACAATAGGTAGGTAGGTAGAGAGAGAGAGAGAGAGAGAGAAATCCTGTATTCGATGTATAAGATGCACCCAGATTTTCAGCCTCTTTTTTGAGGAAAAAAGGTGTGTCTTATATTCTGAAAAATATGGTAAATTGAACTTGGAGAATGAGTATGTAAAGCATTGTATGATTCAGTAGGCAAGGAATTCTGGATACAATATCTGAACAATGGGAATCTGAACAATATCTGAAACAATTATAATTAATTACATTATAATTTAAAATAAATTTTTATAAATCTATTATAAATTTATAAAAACTAACTGGTAACTAACACTGGATAAATGATCAAGAATGTATAAAGGTGCTTCAAAAATGA